AAGCTTATGCAGTGTCTGAGAATAGGTGGTGGCGGCATTACGGAGAGGTGGTGCCATACGGCCTGCTGCAGATTTTATACTTTCGGAATCCTTTTCCAACTTCTCCATCCGAGCACAAGCGAATGCAAGAAGGTATTCAAATACCTTTGTAAATGATGTTATTTCAGTATGACGGTGGGCTCGAATTTGCTGACACAAGGCGGAAAATTCTGGATCATCTAGTTGGCGCGACTTACCTGCGACTTCATCAGCATACCCGTTGCCCTGGATATGTCTTGCTTCAGCAAGGGAAGTCGCCTCCTGCAATGACATATGGGATTTTATCTTATGGATCTGGAATCGGGACGCATCCCAAACTTCGGCAAGACGGGAAACGAGATCCCAATGTGCTGTCTTATGAGGGGAACGAAAGACAGTTCCATCCAGGATGTGGTCAACAGTGTTAACAGCGTATTGAGAGTCTGTGACAAATAAGATGGTTTGGGTAGCGGCAATGTGAACGGATTGTTCTACAGCTGTGATGAGGGCAAAGAGTTCCGCTCGGTTAATCGTTTGTGGGCCTGGGCAATGGCCGGAGGCAAGGACAGTATATAAGCGAAGCAGGGGGTCGTGCTGATCCTGGGTACTTGCGACCACTGCCCAAGCGGCTCGTGCTGTATAGGGGTCCCGCGTGTCGTCACACGACCCATCCGTATAAAGTATAAGGTCGGTTGTATCAGGCGGAGGTGTCGGGATCGAGACAGTATTAACTCGCAGAAACATGGCCTGGCGGGCCAAGGTTACTTGTGGATGATGCAATGGGAGCGGGAACCAGCATATTCGCGGGTTCTGCTCCATGAACTGTACGGCGTGAGTATGTTGTGTGCGAATATGGTGGAAGGCTTCGCACTCAAGGAGTTGATGCTTGTGCGAATCGTATTTAGTACACCATGGGCACTTAGGGTCCTGTGTGGCAGACCACTGGGCGATGGCACCAAAAGATTGCCATCCAGATGTGATGCTTAGGGCGAGTATGCGCCGCTGGCGGTCAGTTAGTTTTTTGAGGAGCTGTATGGTGGTGTATGAGTCAAATGGGATATCTGGTGATCCTTTACGATGAGCCACTTCACCTTGGCAAAACCAATCCCATGAGATTCGCAGTTGGTGTTTGATGTGTTTGTTTGACGAAGTCTGCAGGTTAACACGCAGGCCTCCTGGCCCCAACAAGGTAGCATTTTTTGTCAGTTCCCATCCACAGTGTGCGAGGTATGATGCAATTGCACTTGCCGGTCCACGGACTTTGCCGTCGAAAGTGTGTATGGTATGGAGGATTTGGCTAGCCATAATGGGGTGGTATGCAAAGAATCTACGTAATGTGGTAAGCATGTCCGTGAGGATGTATAGCAAGGGGTCTTGTACTTTGTCCGAGATGTAATGCAAGGCAATGGCACTTGCTGCGTGTTTATGATCCCCAACTAGGACATTTGAAGCGGCGCGACGAAGGGTGGTAAAGTGTTTTTGTCCAATGGAAACGCCTAAAGCCCCATAGAACACAGCGGGCCAGATTGCCACCTGGATCTTTTCTGCTCGCTCGTCTAGAGTCAGCTGCAGCTTACGAAGACGGTTACACTTAGCCACTGCATTATCAATCTTATCGCGTAGTGGGCCTAAGACCACGGCGTTAGTGTACGAGATGGTGCATCCTAGGTCATGAACGTGACTCTTGATGCGGAATTGAAATCCCGGGACAAATAGTAAGGCAGAGGCGTGCGTCCAAAAGGTTTTAAATGGCTTAGTTGTAGCCCAGCACCATGATTTGTTAAAGTCAATTTGCATACGAAGATCAGCGACAAAGTTCAGCAGCTTTTGCATGGCTTGAAAGGTCGCTCGCTCTGATGTAGACATAAAGGACCAATTATCGGCGTATGCAAAGGGATGGACCTGCGGTGTGCGCACTTTAATAAAGAAGGCAAAGCTAAGGGCGAGCATGCCGACCACAGACATGGAGTCGCCTTCGGGAAGCCCCGTGGTTGATGGCTCGGCGGCGCCTAAGGCACATCCGCATTGCAGAGATCGGGTGAGCCTAGTCAGGGACAAAAACCAGAAGTCGCAAATATGGTTGGGGATCCCTAGGATGGCAAACAGGTGACGGACGACACGGCGTGGAATGAGATTAAAAGCTTTTACGAGGTCCATGGTCCAACCGCCCCATGCGGTGTGATGCGTTCTGGCGTGTTCGATTTGGAGCTGCTGCATCACACATAAGTCTCTTGCCGAACGGCCGGGGAGCCCCCCGCTAATCTCGGGGGGCCATAGGGATGCCCATTGATGCAAAATCTGGTCTGCTATTAATTTAGAACACAATCTGGCGATGTATCCCAAAATTGTAATTGGTCTCCCGTCTGAAATGGATTTTGGCTTATCACACTTCGCGAATAATAGCGTGCGGGCTTGCATGAGGTGCGGTGAGAGGCCTAAGGGCCATATTGTCTGGAGAAGGTCGGACAAATCTTCTACCATGGCAGGTGTCAGTGACTGGAACTCCTCGGCGTGCCAGCCGTCGACTCCCGGTGCTTTATGGGGTTTAAGGCGATGTATGGAGTCCCACAAACGTTGTGGGTCGTCGAATCTGATTTCTAGGGTCGGCTGCTGGGGGATGGTTTCGGTTAGATCATCAAGAACGGATGACCAAGCCTCATCATTCATCTGGGATTCAAAAGAATCCCGCCGCCAGAACTGAGACCAGAACTGGTGGAAATGTGGGGACATGGCATCACAGGTATAAGCGTGGGTCGAGTACGAAAAATTTGCGCATCCAGGCAGTGTTCCCTGGACTTGGCGCAAAGTGATATACGGCAGATTGACATTTGCTACAACGGCCTCACAGGACCCAAAAAGGACTCTTGCCCCAACAGGGACCTGGAATGGAGATTGGAGTCTTATTTTGGGGGCTGAGTGACCGGCACGGCACAGGTTGGCAAAGGACTCATGTCTCACCGGGATATCTGTCAAAAACCGCTGCTCTTTACCTTTAATAAAGCGGTAGGCGGCTGAGTTGTTCGTGTGTGATTGTGCAAACGCCAAACAATGTCTACGGTGGTGTTTGCGCAGTTGTGTCTCTTGATGTGCAAAAGCGTCTGCATCGCATTTTGTGACTTGATATGCGTCAAGCAGCCACTCCAGGGAAGGCAATCGACAAGGGATATAAGCAATACATTCATAACCCAGGAGCCATGAGGACCATGATTTCCCATAGCCTTGTGCCCGCTGGATAACGGCCCATTCATGTGTAAGCTGTGCATCATCATGTGAACATGTCAATCCTGGCTGTCGTTTGCGGATGTGTCTGATAAGAGAACTGAGCCGGCGCGTCTGCCGGGCTTTAAGTCTGGCCTTGTTGGATGTGGCTTCGGTGGGTGGGTTATACCCATTTGTGGGGTCGTGTTTGGCTGTTTTGGGTGCCGTGTGTGTAACGAATTTAGTAGGTTGACAACGGCCAAAGTATTTCTGTGGGAGCGTCGGGTGTGGAAATCTGAGTGGATCTTGCTGATGTTGTAGACGAGTACACGTCCTGATTGCATGTTCTACACCCTTGGACCAGCGCTGAAACGCGTCATCGATGTCTGAGTGACTCTCCACAGAACTAGTGTGATTGTAACGCTGGGGCGAATGTGTGTAGGCGTGGTCGAGTATCTGAAGGTCCAATGGTATATCCCCCCAGCTGGCCGGAATAAACCAGTTGCGTGCGACCGACTGCGTACCAGGAACGTTGAACTGTACAAACAACGGCCGATGATCGGGGAATGTTGCATCGGGGCCAACCCAGAGATCACGAATCCAGGGAATGACCGATTCATGGAAAATGAAACTGTCGTTACGTGTGGCGTTCCGATATGTAGGAGGAAGTTCCCGATCAAAATGTTGTTGTGCAAATTGAAATGCCTCTTTACACCGGATTGCTTGGAAAGCCTGGTATGCAGGAAGGTCACGGACAGAGCAATTAAAATCGGCCGCAATGACAAAAGGCATGTTAGTTGATGTACAATGCAAAAAAATTTCGGCTAGAAGTGTATCATTCTTTGTACGAACATCGGAAGTACGGCCAGCGAAGAAGTATGCAGTGATTAGCAACACTTCAAAGTGGCCTAAGAGGATGACTTGCTGGGAAACTCGCAGAGTGTCCTGAAGGTGGCCCGGAAGGGCATTCCTAGAAGGACGGTGTGGTATACGATGCATAGAGGCTGTCCCCAAGGCCTCGCCTCTTCTGGAGTTGTCCATATTCGAAGGGTTCACCGACAGTTTTTGGGGGCCAACGGGGGGACCCCAAGCAATGCGGTAATTCGTGGTTTTGAGAAACTTGGTGAACTCGGCTTGTATGGATGTTGTGGCTGATGTCTCTGCCAAAGAGATTACATCAGCGTTTAGATCAATGATATCTTGTTGTCGTTCAGTTAACACTGTAGGGTTGAGAATGGCGAATGTCACAAGGTTTTCTGTACAGGTAGGCCCTGGGTTCTTGGCCTCACCAACACGAATTCCCCGGAAAGGGTCCCAAAAGACCATGTTCGACCCAGTAAGCGTCAAAAGGTCTCCCGGGGCCCTGGTAAGGAAAGCGCTGTGTTTAGTGAGGTGGTACCATGTATGATGGCTCCCTCGGGGCCACCTCCATCCCCCCAAGCACTTTTGTTTTCGATGCATGTCAAAGTGCGTGGATCCATGCGGTTGTGCAAAAGGATTGATGCTCCATATCTTATGAGCCGCCTGACAAGCACAGACTGGTCTGCTTGAAAAAGCTCTCCGGCACACAGCATTCCGCCATGTGAAAATGAGTGCGCAAACAGGGCTACAGTAACCATGCCTTCGAATGGCGGCTACGAATGGAGCATGCCTGTGAGGAGTCGGCTTTTTGCCAGAACACACACAGGTAAAGCTTTGTGGCTTCTTTAATGTCAAGCGGTTGTCAATGCGAAAGGACTGGACCTTGCAATGGTCCTGGCACTTCTTGGATAGGCTCTGTGGGGTTAGCCATCCATCTCCACATCTCCTCCGCTTGCACGTTTGCGGCTAGGTGCGGCAAGCAAGGCCTTTAGCTGCTCGAAATCTTCTTTAAAGGTTGAGCGCAAAGCCGTTTGGGTTTGAGTCAAAGCATCGGTGAGCGTTGATTGGAACGCTTCCTTGACTTCATTCACTCGATCTCCTACTTCCTTTCGAACTTGCAGAAATTCTGTGTGAACTTCCTTGCGAAAGGTTGCCGTCTCCTTCTTCTGCGTATTGATTGTGTTCTCTAATGTCTGGATCTTGGATTGGATCTGGTCTATCTCACGCTGTTGCCTTACATGGGAATCGGACGACACCGTCGAGGGTGGGGCTTGGGGCTTTGCTTGATGATGACGAACTTGATCCACTAAACCCCGAAGATCGGCTGGTCCACTCAGGGAAACCCCAGTTGGCACTTGCATTGGCCCAGGGGTCGTTGATCGTGAGCGGGTCAGTGCCCAGATCGTGCTTGCTGTCAGATTTCCATGTTCTTCGAACCGTGCTCATGGGGCGCTTTCCAGCAAGGATGGTGCTCTTCATCTTATTCTGCCTGCTCTCTATGGGCTGGAGCAGGATTGCGTTTTGTTTCCATGTCAGGTGGGCAGTCTTGAGGTCGGCTTCTCCGACCAGGATCCATGTGGTTGCATTGATGGCTCGAAGGGGTCTTGCGTGCAGCTTTTCCAGGTGGATCCACTTTGTAACATCTTCATGTGTTGCCCCTTCAGGCACAGGCGAGATCCGGTAAAGGTATTCACCTTGGATCAATTGTGGCTTCGGATCACTTGGGCGGAGCTGCTGCCATAGGGTGTCAAAGTGCTTGGCTTGTGTGCGGATGCCATATGCCGGCCTTTCCTTTGCAGAGCGAACTATTCCCAAGGCATGTTCGCATTCAGCGGCTTTGGCACAAGCCTCTTTGGCAGTGGTGAACTGTGTCCATACGATAGAATATCTGGCATCGGCAAGGTTGGAATGCTCTGATTTAGGTGTGGTATACACACCACATTGGCCAGATTTACCGAGCACCACAGGTAACATGGCAGCGACGACCCGGGCGTAAAAGCAAAATGATTCTGCTTCTGCAGGTTGCACTGCCTGACGAAGAGCCCTCCAACTACGACCCTGGGGTGGCCCGGAGATGGTGTCTGATGGTGTAATATCGAGGAGCTTAAAAACAATATGTATTGGTGCCGACAGGAGTGTATCCCATTGCTGCTCTGTGCATTCAGACTTCCAAGTGACAAACATCACTTTCGTCGTGTCAGTTACAGCTGCAGCGTCACCATCTGACAGGCGTATAGTCACAGCCTGGGTGCCTAATGAATGGCAACACGCAGTGATCACCACCTTGTCGTTCTCTGGTAACAGGACTGGTATATGGAACCGCTGACAACAGGATTCCTGTAACGGGCACTTTACCCCCGGGACAACAGCCATAAGTTCTTCATGCTTGCGGGAATGTTCTTGGGCAAATGCAACAATATCCTCAGGCTCCACGAAAACTACACCTTGTGTTGGAGTGCTTGGATCTTTGCACATGCTGACCTCGGTTCCATCATGTCTGCAGAAGGTGCCTTCTTCGACCCGGAGATCACCAGCCGGAGTCGAGTTTTGGCCTCGTCCACTCTTTTGGAGGGATGCTCGGACTCGTTTGGATCGGGCTTCTTCGAGGTCATGCAGTTGTGGAAGACTGATGCGTAGTTGCTTAGCAACAATGCCACACTGCTGGATAAAGGCGTCCTCTTCAGGCACCGACAACAATGTACGAACACGTGCTGCTCCCGCCTCAATGTAGACCTGGTGAGCAAATTGCTTGGTCTCAATTGGGTCGAAACCCACTTGGAGGGCTCGAGCAGCAAAGTCCTCTTTAATCTTGAGTGCAGCTTCGGCTTTAGACCCTCCACCTTGGCATTCGAGGATCATGTGGATATTGGTTGGCTTGGAAGTGTCCTTCATGAGATCACGGTACTCCCCAAAATTCCACTCAGGATTGAGGCGCTGACCACGGATGAGAGCCCGTAAATGCACACGTTTACCCACATGTTGACTAGCAAGCAACCATGCGTCTTCCAGAATGCCTGTTGGGGTGTCAGGTTGTACCTGTCCCGTCCAGACAAAGCTATCCCATAGCTTAACTCTCACATCAATGCCGGCCTCTCTAGGTTTCACTGACATGTTCAAAAAGGCAATGAACAAACGAGTGGCAATGACATTTTGCACATCCTGGAGTGGGGCAAAGGCAGAGTGACAGCATCGTTGGATAGTCAGCTGAACTGTTGTGCCTCGGACACTGGAGTCATCAATACTCGAATCCAACAGCGTTTTCCATCCCAGTGACCTCAGGAGGTCCGTGAGGCCCAGCTTACAGTAGATATCCAGTAGTGACAAGGCCTGAAACATGGTTGTTACACACAGCATACTATCAGCCAAAATGTTCCATGACACCTGACGAAGGGTGGACAATGACTCAATGGCTTTGGGTGCCTGCGCGGCAATGAAAGCAGTATCAGGTGGGCTGGACGCCAACTCCCATGTACCGCCTAAGTGGTCCAAGGCAAGAGCTGTCCCCGAAAAGAAAGGCGTGAGAATCTGCAACATGTCATCAACCGTTTCCACATGTGTTCGGGGCATGACGAAAATACCTTCGGTTGATAAGGCGACCACAAGGGGGCCGGTCTGGCAATAGAACCTGCTTTCCTCTAATGCGAGCGGGCCTATCCACATGGTGTCCAGTGACATACCTTCTTTTGGGACGGTGTCGATGGCAAAAAGAGGCAGTCGTATCTCAGAGTCTCCCCGTGGCTGCCATGATGCTACCGTGTTTGTCGGCAATCTGAACAAGCACCGGAGCGTGTCCCAGACTGGGAGTTGGGGTGCGAGACGAATGCAACACTCCCCTTGGTCCTGTGGGATACGCAAACTGTACATTGGCACCTCTCGTGACTCCCAGCTTTGAGTAGGAGACACATCTCGGCGAGACAGACGGAGTGTTTGGGTAGTGTCGTGCTCAGAGACCATGACTGTGTCGCTGGTGTACCTGGTGGCTATGGCATCATCAAGCAACCACAAAGGAATTTGTGTCCACTGAATACACTTGAGTTGAGCCATCGCGTTCAACACTCCTAACATGGCATGGGGCACCGCAATTGCATTGCCAAGTAGATGTGTGGCGACTTTAGGATCCTTTGGCACATGAAATGGGCTGTTGCAACCAAACAGCATCGCAATCTCGGGCTGAGCTAACCATCTCACCTGACCCTCGTACAGCACGAAAGACCCCAGCAACCCCCCTTCAGCCAAGGTGCGAGACGGCAGTTCGTGTGCAAAGGCATAATTTGCCATAATGCATGAATGCTGATCTTCTTGAGTCTTTATGCGGCACCTGCGGATCTCATGTGGCGTGGTGCCAACACGTTTGGGTAACAATCGGCATTGGAAGTACTGATCGAAGACCTGGGCCTCGAGTGGTGGTGCATACTGATGACACGTATGCGAGGACGGCAAGAGGATAGACTCCAATGTTGGACGGACAGATGCTTTGACCCATCTTACTGGCTCCAACCGTGCCACACGGGGATCATTTTTTCGAGTCGCGACAAGCAGGAGTCTAGTACGTGAGTGTGGGAGAACATCAGCTAAGTTGAGTGCCTCACTCCATGTCAGGGAATAACCCGCCCAACTCAGGAAAGCCAGTACCCAAGCATAGTGTTTGTGTTGCGATAAGGAGGAAACTTCTTCTATGCATAATACGGCCGGCTGCAAAATTGCGCATTGGATTATGGTCAGGAGGAGGAGCCTACCATCACTAGCTTCAAGACCTTGCTCTGAGCCTGCACGACTCCATGGTTGACATGGCGGGGATGCCAGCAAGATGTCTATGGGTTCACACAAATGATGCCACCATGCGTGCTCTATATTGGCCACAATGGTATAAGGCTCTTCCATAGGCGTCATGCCCAGCTGCAGGCCATCGGCTTGCTGTGTGCTGACCACACACGGGTGTCTTGAGTGATTCAGTGCATGGTTTCTGGCCATGATGACGTCGTTTTCGATTGAAAAAGCATGGTGTACTGGAAGATGGGCCTGTATCAGGTACTTAAGCGCGAACGACCACCCGGAGAATCCGCCCGCGAAGAACTCACCAAAGCGGATCTCCCTATCTGCTTGGTCAGAGTCTTCACGTACATGAGTTAAACCTGAGTGGGGTGAGCGCAAGTCGATAACTGGGGTTCCATCAGACCATATGAGCTTAGCTTCAACAATCATGGCCGACTTGTCAGGGCCAAATGCCTTCCATACTTCTTTGGGAAGGATTACATGTGCGAACGTAGTGCGGTCATGTGCACAGGCAGGGTGCCTGCAGTCTAATGTTCCTATGCGGTCAGCGAGATCAATGCACGGTTTGATCAATCTGCATGATACCAAAGCACAGTCATGCCAATCTTGTATGTATTTTTTCAACGTCACCTGTGCCGTGAAGCCTTTTGTGTGACAATGACACAAACTCGTGACTGGTATGTGTGTGCGGATGTGCTGCGTCAAGAACATCTTGGTACGATCTGACAAAGTAGGCAAGGCACGAGTGTCTTCTCCCACCGGTGTCCCCATGGTCGCGGAGCTAGCAAACGTGGCACCAGGCAAATCAGGCTGGGTCGACGTGTCTCCCAGACCACCCCCTCTGACATGTGTTTCAACTTGTTGGCACTGCAATAAATGTGTCAGGAAGAGGGTACGTACTGCAAAAGCCTTTCGGATCAAATGGTGATCTGACGTGGCTGAGCGCCACAAAGCAACCGCATGGTGACCAATATACGCAAGTTCACTGGCAAAATCATGACTCTGGAGGAATCGGACTTGACTATCGCACCACGGCAGAGATTGGATGTCACATGCCTGGAGACTTGCATCAAGCATTTGAAACCCACACATATTTTCTGGACATGGGAAGGCGAAAGACTGGGCACGGACCAGGTGAGGTGGAACCTGCAGAAAATCAGCAACATGCATCAGGAATCGTGGAAATTGCGCTACCAATGTAGTAGGGAACCCGTATGTATGAACCCAAACAATGCCTGACTCAAACAGGACGTGTACGGCGAACCAGTGGGCCTGACAATGAACCAGGGCACGGTGTTCCAAATGACGACTCGAAACAGCTGCACGGTCTGAGATCACTTGCAAGGACGTGCCCTCAGGGTCCCATCGACAGCATGGTACCAGGTTTACAGGACCAGAGAAATGCCGACATAGGTCAAGGGTGTGATCAAGTTCGTCAGACGCTGCCTGGTCCGGGAAAAGACAGAACTCCTGAATTCGTGAATGGACCTCATCGTATCTGACCTGTTGATTACCCCCCATAGTGACATGATTAGAGGCAAATGACACATGGGTTTGAGCCTCAGTGTTGTGGCACGATGGTACGACCTGCTGTGAGATTTCAGGGTTCTCCTGTTGGTTGGTCTGGGTCACTGCTTCAAGCATTAAGGGTGGGGCAACAACCTCCTGCTCAAAAACAGAAAGGGGCTGTCCAGCAGCACATATCGCCAACGTGTCCAAGCGCGTGTGCACTCCCGTGTTGAACTCAAAGAGGTGAATCAGGAAGGCTTGACGAACAGTGTAAGCGACCTGCTGCAGGTTGAGATCAGCTCCAGTCACTTCCCATGCACGGGAAGACTTGTCAAGGGCCCTAGACACAATTCGTTTACGGTCATCTGATAATCCCTGAAAATCTTGCAGAGTTTGCGAAAACACATATTGTGTATGCGTCAGGAGCAACCATCGCCAAATGAGTGCCCATCCGCACATACCTGGAGGGGTCGTATTGGCCCAGTGGCGTATGACGAGCCGATGTGCGGGTATGTGGAGGACCTGACAAACCAGTGTTTCAATCCGGTTCTGGTTGAGTTGTGAACAATGCAAGATGGCAACTTCTGGGACATCATGCTGTCTATC